TTTGAAGGAAGAGTGGGAAGTACTGAAGGAAAACTAATGGGGCTATTCATTTTCATTCTCATCTTTTATTTCTATTTTTTTCCCCTTTGGCTACAGAAAATTCTCTCCATCTGCACAGCAAATGGTGACATTAATAACATTTATTGTAATCGTTTGTTAACAGTTTATTCTGGAATCTAGGCTACTTTAGGTTAGGGACCACTTCTCGTTATCTTTGCTCCTTTTGCTTCAGAAAGCTCAGAGCTGGCATCCAGAAACCACCTAACTCTGGGTACAATTATTTGTGAATAAATGATTCAAGATTCACCTCAACACTGAACTATCAGATTGCTCCTACTTTACCTGGTATACTTGGTTATCCTTTCCTGAATGCAAATTATTATTTTGTATACATTGCTCATCTAGGGCTTATCATGCAAAATAGTGTGTGTGTGTGTGTGTGTGTGTGTGTGTCTTCTGTTATCTACCTACCACTCCTGTGACTCCCTAGATCAGAGATGAGATCTTCCTGAATAACTGTGTGTTTGTTTCTTTCATTTCTGTTGCATTTCTTCCTGGCACTGGGCTTAGCACTTGTTATGTACTTGAAAAAAAATGTGTGTTGAATAAGTTCTCAATTATGATATATTAAAAACAACAAAAATAAAAACTATGTATCTCCATAAGAAGTAGAGTTGCAGAATTCTTTTTTTTAAATTTTTTTTAACATTTATTTATTTTTGAGACAGAGACAGAGCATGAACAGGGGAGGGTCAAAGAAAGAGGGAGACACAGAATCTGAAACAGGCTCCAGGCTCCGAGCTTCAGCACAGAGCCCGACGCGGGGCTCGAACCCACAGACCATGAGATGATGACCCGAGACGAAGTCGGACGCTTAACTGACTGAGCCACCCAGGCGCCCCAAGAATTCTTGATTGTTAAAATAAAAATTATTAAAAACCAAGAGGTGACATCTACACTTTTTGTTGTTTGTGTTTCAAGAAAATGTTGGGGCACCTGGATGGCTTAATCAGTTAAGCATCTGACTTTGATCTCAACTCAGCTCATGATCTTACAGTTGGTGCAATCAATCCCCACATCAGGCTCTGTGCTGATAGGACAAAGCCGGCTTGGGATTCTTTCTCTCTCTCTGCCCTTCCACCACTGGTTCTCTCTCTGTCTCTCTCTCTCAAAATAAATAAAAACACCTAAGAAAATAAAAACTCTTAAACCTATATGAATTTCAAAATAAGCCATAAAAAATTCTATAGAAGAACTCATCTGTAAAATGTTCAATGTTAATATCATGAATAGCAGATTATAAAATAATCTAGGAAGTCTTTAAAAATCTTTCCTTTTCAATCTTAGAAAACAAAAAAGTATAAATAGTATATCAAGAAATGGGCAAAGTCATCACTAATCTACTAATTTTAATTTACTCTTGTCATATTGATTTTAAATATGTGTTGTCATCACCAACAATTGAAAGAACTTTGAAATATTAACCTTTGAAAAATTAAGTCCAGCGAATAAGAAAATTGAATTCTGCTGTCAGTTTACTGACAGATTAGACTTTATTGTTAAGAGTGATAATTTTTATTTTAGGAAATACTAGGTACTTAACACAAATAACTCAAAGGTTCTTGAAAACCAAACTATAAGCTACAAAGACTTTTGAGTAGATATAATCAAGATATATATTTCTTTACCTATGTAAAGTATCCAATGGATTTTTAGAAATCTTTTCCAAAAATGGGGTGCCTGGGTGGCTTAGTTGGTTAAGTGTCCAACTTCGGCTCAGGTCACAATCTCACGTTCGAGAGTTTGAGCCCCGCGTTGGGAGCTGTGCTGACAGTTTGGAGGCTGGAACTTGCCTCGGATTCTGTGTCTCCCTCTCTCTCTGCCCCTTCCCTGCTTGCACTATTTCTTTCGCGCACTCTCAAAAATATATAAACATTAAAAAAAATTTTTTTAAGAATTTTTACAAAAAAAATGATTTTATAATATCATACATCCTGACTAAATATTAAAATAATTTGGGTAGGAATGCCTATATATTTTATAGCTTGATGTTCAGAAAATAATTTATATCAAAAAATAAAAGTCTTTGGCAATATGTAATAATTCATTCATCAAATGAATATTTCTAATTCTACTGCTGGGCAGTAAAATCAAGTGAGACATTTAGCATTTATTTGGAACAGATAGTTTTATTTCAATGGGTAATAGCTATCATAGTCTATTTTTAAGTGGACTTAGTGGGAAAAGAAAAAAAAAAGATTTCAAATTACCTACAATATTCATGTGATCTGAGTTCAAAATTTTATGTTTATACATGTTTGTCAGTACTATTTACTCTTCCCAATTCACAAATTCTATTTTCCCATTTCCTGAATACAGCCTTTAAAATGAAGATTCCTGAGTCCTGGATAATCTCCTCTTGTGGAAAGTACATCTTTGTTTTTTTTTTCTTTGACAGGCTCCTGTGACCTGGGCACATTTACATTATTGATATGTATTGTATAAGATCGTGTGCAAAATTTAACTTTTTAAAAAGTCAGAGAAAATTTATTTCCTATTTCGAATGTGAACTTTTTAAAAATGTAAAATAATGATATGTATATAAATGGGAATTATAATCCTACAGAAGCAAGTAAAGCCCTTTTTGAGGAAGAGAAAGATGGAGAGAATAAAATATAGAGAAGTATGTATATGAATACATAAGTGTGTTTGTGTGTGTGTGTGTGTGTGTGTGTGTGTGTACATGCATATCTACCTACATCTCTGTGTATAAAGTATATATATTTATATATATGTAGTATATATGTATTATTCAATCAAGAAAAGGTAAATGAGGTATTTTGAAGGAAGCAAATGCTGTGACATAGAATGTTCCAATTAAGAAAATTAATTTGGAGATATCTAAGATAGCAATCTGGAGTTATCTAAGATAGCACTTATTTAAAAAGAAAAAGAGACCCGGGAGGCACCTGGGTGGCTTAGTCAGTTACGTGTCTGACTCTGGATTTTTGCTCAGGTCATGATCTTATGGTTCCTGAGTTCAAGCCCCACATCAGTCTCTGTGCAGTCAGCACAGAGCCTGCTTGGGATTCTCTCTCTCTCTCTCTTCCTTCACCCCCCACTTGTGTGCTCTTTCTCTAGCTCTCTCAAAATGAATACATAAACTTAAAAAAAAAGATTAAAAAAGAAAGAAAGAAAGAAAAGGAGGGCATCTAAGGTGTCTCAATCAGTTAAGCATCCAACTCTTGATTTGAGCTGGATTTCAACTCTTGATCTCATGATTCGTAGATCCAGGCCCCCACCTCAAGCTTTCTGCTAGATTCTCTCTCTCTCTCTTTCTGGAGGAAGTGTATGAGAAGACTAGGAATTGTGAAACTAGAGCATCTGTTTCAAAGGCATATGAAGGGGCACCTGAGTGGCTTATTCAGGTGAGTGTCCAACTCTTGATTTCGGCTGATCTCACCATGGTTTGTGGGGATTGAGCCTGATTCTGTGCTGACAGAGCGAGCATTGGAACCTTCTTGGGATTCTCCCTCACTGTCACCCCGTCCTGCTCTCTCTTTCTCTTTCATGCATGAGCCCACGCACTCTCTTAAATAAATAAACTTTTAAAAAAATAAAAGAAAATGAAACAAAAAAAAAAATTGTGCTGTGATCTTTACAAAAAAACAAGACAGAGGAATAAAACATTATTAAAATAAACTTCTTGAGGAGGTGTCTTAATATCTAAATATGTTAAAAAAACTTGGAAAAGAAAAAGCTGCCTTATTCTGCATTTTTCAGTTTCAGTCAAAAGCAGTAGTGACCTGGGAATTGTGGGAAGAACATAAACAGCAGGAACCTCTCATCAGGTTTAAACGTCAGCTCAGGTCATGATCTCATGGTTTGTGGGATTGAGCCCTGTTTGGGATTCTGTGCTGACGAGCGTGGAACCTTCTTGGGATTCTCTCCCTCACTGTCTGCCCCGTCCCTGCTCTCTCTTTCTCTTTCATGCATGTGAGCCCACGCACTCTCTTAAAATAAATAAACTTTTAAAAAATAAAAAGAAAAGGAAATGAAGCAAAAAAAAATTGTGCTGTGATCTTTACAAAAAACAAGACAGGGAATAAAACATTATTCAAATAAACTGAGGTGTCTTAATATCTAAATATGTTTCAATTAAAAAAAACTTGGAAAAAGAAAAGCTGCCTTATTCTGCATTTTTCAGTTTCAGTCAAAAGCAGTAGTGACCTGGGAATTGTGAGGAAGACGGAGCAGTTAGAATTATTAAAATAGAAAAAAAAAAGACTGAGTATATTTCTCCTCACTTGCTATTTTATTAGAGAATAAAAAGTATCAATGTCTTTCTGCTTTAAACTCAATTAACACTTAACAGAGGCAAACTAACTCTTGAGACATATTTGGGAAATAATAAGGAAACTGGTCACATTTAAAGGCCCTTGAAGGAAATTTTCTAACTTAAGAGAGGTTTTGTTACAGAATGTGCAGTGGCTTGAACCTCTTTCATGTTCCAGCCCTTAAATTCCCATCAAAGCCGATGATTAAATTCTCTACAATTACACCATGTGATGGAGCTCAACAGTAGGTGCTCTGCTATGGCCAGACGAGTCATTAGAAAGCTGCGAGAGATGATGAAGCAGGTTATTTTAATTCCCTTTTCAACCCCGCTCAGGAGTGGCTCTTTAGTTCACAGAGCTGTGGACATTTGCTTTCAAACTAACAAGCAATATTATAAATGGAGGCTGCATTATCATGATTGCAGACAATCTAAGGCACTTGACAGCCAAGGATTTTAGGTTCTCAATATGTGCTGTGTTGTATTTATCAGCTAAAATACAGAGATGGTGCAAACAACAGAAGTGGGGTTGTGGGGAGGGCAATGAACAGGGTGGGAAGGGGGCAGGGAAAAAAGTAAGAGAATCCCAGATAAAGACAAAGAAAACACAATACAGAGAAGAGGAATGCCCTGGGCATTCGGTTGGTATAGAAGACAATTTTACCCATTTTCTTGCTGTTCCACTGCGTAGTGTTCCAGCTCTGTTCCAGGAAGGGGCTGGACTGGGGGAGGAGGTAGAGGAACATTGGCCCAGGTCGATCCATTGTTTTTCTGAGGTTTAGAAGAGTTTTTAGTTTTCTTCTTTTTTCCACCTTTCCCACCTGCAAGTAATAATGCATCTATTCAGATATACCAAAATCAGAAGAAACACAGTCATTGGGTGGGAAGATGGATTTATGTTTTTGAAACACCACAATGAGTATATTACATTTGTTAAACGCTATAAACAATGAATTGATCTAATCAGAAAATGTTTTTATAAATCACTCGACATTATATTGTTTCTTTCCCAATGCATGAACTACCGTGCTGAATAAACCAAAAACATGGGTCCTGTAGCAAAAGCACACTTATTGATTTATTCATGTCTGCTGCCTCTACGTTTTCATTGTTAGACAAAATAATGGGCCATAACAAATTCTTTCAAATGTCAGATTTTAGTGCGTTTATAATGCTCTTTTGCATAATCTCTCTCAGTGGAAAATGCAGTGTCTAAGGATACAGGCTAAACTTTTCCATTAGAATTTACTCTAATTAATCCAAGAGAGTACAGTTTTCTCTCAAAAGTGACTGATAAAAATCAATCAAATATAATCTGGGTACTTATAAATCTTTCACAATGAGAAGTTTTATAGAATTTTAAACTAACGAATGGCGTAGTTATTTTTGCTTATAGTGAGAGTAGTTCCCAGATGTTTTAAGCATAGCATTTTCTAAAATTCCAAAAAGAGGGGAAAAATTAATGAAAATGCAGTGATCAGTTTCACTACTATTGTTAATACAAATTAGTTCATGCACAAAACATGAGCAAAAAATGACTTGGCAGCGTATGAACCAAATCTGGAATTACTGGAGCTTAATGAAACATAAAAATAAAATTCATCATCTGTATAGTGTCATAGTTTTCACTCTTCCAAAACTGAAGTAAATCAAATTTCTTCCTAGATGTGTCATGGTTGATTGTAAGAATAAGTACTTCTGAAGCAGCATAACAAAGGATGTTCAATAGAATGCAAGTAGCTTTCTTCACTCCTACTATGGCTATCGTTATATTTCCAAAAATAATGGTATTGACCCCTTGGGCTTCATCTTTCTGGACCTGAAAGTTGTGAGCATCAAATACTTGCAGCAGGGCTCTCAATAGACAGACATAGTACCAGAAGTCTCATCTCCTTTCTTCAACCAACTGTTAATCTGCATCAGCAACTGGCATCAGCTAGTTGATGATCAGCTAATGGCATCAGCCAACTCAGAAAATTATGTCATTCAGTAATGACTTATTGGAGTGTCAGAAAGTAATGTAGCTGGTAAGCTGGGCAGAGACACTGTTGCCAATTATGGAAGTATGTCTGTTTTCTATGTCATGAGCACAGATTTAAAAGCTCATCCCTACAGACAGAGTGCTTTCTTCCTTCCTTTCACTTCCTATCCTGGGCAAAAGGAGAGGTATTTAAGAGAAAGAACAGCAGGTATCTTCTGTTTTGAGTATAACAGCTTAATCTGGGGTTGAAGACTAATTTCTCATGTATCTGTATAAATTACTCAATAGATATCACTTTGATTTATATCTGTAAAACAGATACAAATTTCCTATTTCTTTGGGGTATTATGAGGGTTGAAAGAGACAAAGCATGTAAAGGGCTCAGATTGTACAGAAAGCTCAATAAATGCCACTTATTATTACTCTATTTCATTTCCTCTATCTTAGAGCAAACATGGTTCTACCCATTTCTACAGCCTTTGTCAAGCCCGACTTCTCCAACCCCAATGAGTATCCCAGAAATAGTCTGAGTCTCAGAATAAAAATAATGAAGTTGCTTAAATATGTCTATACTTCTTGATATAAGTCTATAATTTTTGTGTTTAAGATGGATGAGCCTTGACCCTTTGTTTCCTGATCGTGCACCAAAATCACAAACCAGGATCATATCTTTTGTGTAGTCTCAGAATTATATTTTAATAATTAAAAGAGGAATGGGTCGGGCTATGTGTTTTTAGTGGCTTTTCCCCTAGTTGGGCACCCTTTATTCCTTATATATTTATATGTGTACATTGGTTCCTTCACTCTTCACTTCACGGCACTTTAGAAAATGTTATATGATCACCACCAGAACTGAATGACACAAATAGGGAAGTTCTTCCATCTCCAGAAGCAAATTCTGTAACAGTAAACTTAATTCGACTAAACTGAAAGGGAATAATCACTTCACTCTTCACCTCCAAAAGAATGCTTTCTATCACCAATTTAACTAATTTTGTATTCAAATGTAGATGAAATAGTTAATAGATGATGAAACAGAGTTCTTTCTGAGTGTTATTTGGTCCATATTCACACAGTAGGACACACACACACAAAAAAGAGTGCAGCAGCTTTACTAGAAATTACTATTACTGGAGTCTGAACCCAACTCTGCTGAGTTCATTTCCAAGTTCGAAAAAGGCATTATCGGGGCGCCTGGGTGGCGCAGTCGGTTAGGCATCCGACTTCAGCCAGGTCACGATCTGGCGGTCCGTGAGTTCGAGCCCCGCGTCAGGCTCTGGGCTGATGGCTCAGAGCCTGGAGCCTGTTTCCGATTCTGTGTCTCCCTCTCTCTCTGCCCCTCCCCCGTTCATGCTGTCTCTCTCTGTCCCAAAAATAAATAAACGTTGAAAAAAAAAATTTAAAAAAAAAAGGCATTATCAGTTATTCCAAATATCAGACTTAAAAATGTTTGGGGAGAGGTGCCTGGGTGGGTCAGTTGGATACATGACTGGCTCTTGACTTGAGCTCAGGTCACGATCTCATGGTTCCTGAGATGGAGTCCCAGGTGGTCCGGTTCTGCACTGACAGTGCAGATCCTGCTTGGGATTTTCTCTTTCTCTCGCTCTCTCTCTCTCTCTCTCTCTCTCTCTCTGTCTCTGTCTCTCTCTCTCCCCCCCCCCACCTTCCCTGCTTGCACTCTGTCTCTCACTCAAAATACATAAATAAACATTAAAAAAAATGGGGAAACAAAGCTGATGCAAAGAGGGAATTTGTGAGGGCTTTCAATCCAATGTCCACTTTCTCCTCTTGAAAATTTCTGCTCTGTCATTGTGTGGAGTCTTGATGGGACTATGAATCAATATGTTTTGTCCTCTCGGGGAGGCTGGGTGGCTCAGTCCATTGAGCATCCGACTTCAGCTCAGGTTATGATCTCGCAGTTTATGAGTTCAAGCCCCATATGGGGCTCTTTGCTAACAGTTCAGAGCCTGGAGCCTGCTTCGGATTCTGTGTCTCCCTCTCTCTGCACCAACCATCCCTGTCCCCAGCCTCGCTCATGCTCTCTCTCTCTCTCTCTCTCTCAAAAATAAACATAAAACAAATTTAAAAGAATATATGTTTTGTCCTCCTTTATCAATGAGCTAAGAGGTGGGCTCTTCACTTGGTGGTGGGCATATGAGGTAGGCTAAGAGTATTGTGTTTATCTAAGATCTAAACCTTGAGCTAAGCGAGCCACCACAGCTCGTTGTTGTTTCTTGCAACCGAAGATCCCGAAACATTTTAAAGTTTATGGCAACATATTTTGAAGACCGTCAACTATATTTGACCCATTTCTCTTCAACTCAAAATGTAAGTATTTAAACTGACATTTATGCTGAACAAATAACTTCTTTGTATAGAAAATTATAAAAGTAGCTCATTTTCGAGTTAGTAAAACACATAATTAAAAAAATACTGGTGTATAAAAATATTTCATTACCACTACTGATATTGTGCGCTATATATGTGTGTATATATAATTATGATTTCATATAGGTTTTGAGAAATCTGAGTTTTCTTTTATATTTTTTTAATGGTTAGATTTTTAACCCAAGTGCTCAAAACTTATGTATGGAATAAATTATATAAGTGTTTCAAAGAGGATGAGAAATTCACTGAAATAATTCAGAAATGTCCAATTTTCTTTATTATTGTGATTATTTTAAATTGATTTCATTGCTGTGTACAAATTAAGAAAATCATATAATATGGTATGATTAGATATTCACAGGGCAGTTTGATCTTAAATTTGAGGCTTAGAAAACATATCTATGATTATAAGAATAAATCAAATTCTGTAAGATTAAACTCAATTGGACTAAACTAGAAAAGAATAATCACTTCACTCTTACCTCCTAAAGAATGCTTTCTATCACCAATTTAAGTAATTTTGTATTCAAATGTAGATGAAGTAGTTAATATAATTCATAGATATATATAAATGTCACTCAGGAGATTAATGGATTAAAAAAAGCAGTAAGCACTATTGTGAATCATGTTCTTTACAATTACTCAAAAGGTAACTTTTAAAACTCAGTGTCAATCAACATATACAGAATATTTAATGAGAGATTCACAAAAGGTCTTATGTAATTCATGGCTTAATATATATAGATTTTTAAAATATGTATACTGCTTGGGACTTTACATATCTGGAATGAAATAGGCCTAGGATACATTACTTTTTAATTATTCAGTACAATTGTGGGACGCGTTATAAATAGATGACAGTATAAATGACATATAAGGTTATTCAAAATAGCCTTCGATATTACTAAGCCAGTTTAAATTCATAACAGATGTTTAAAATTTTCTGGATTCTATAATGTATCTAATTCTACCAAGAGCAAATGCCTCATTGTGGAGGGAAGAGAGAGCATTAACATTTCAGACTGAAAGGGTTCTATCTCCTGAGGAAAAGTCATTTAGTAAATGTTACCCTAATGATGTAAAAGAGTTAACTCTTTACAGCTTGGTAGCTTGTGACATATCATAATACACTATAATCCTTTACTAAGAACTTGTAGATTAAAAAAATTCATAGAAACAAATGGCATACCATTAATATGAAAAAATAAGCAAATGTAGTGGTGCGCACAATAGAAATGTGCAGATAAAGCCATCAGTCGTACAGTGTGCATGTTATGGTTGGAAGTTAGAGGGTGTCGACCACAACCTCTTTATTTTAGATGTGAGGATCCTTGAGCCTGGAGGATATCAGTGCTATTCACTACAATAGACATATATTTCTATCCAGTGAAAATTGGCCCTGAAGTGTGCTCCACAATGCCTACATTGTAGATTGTTAGTTTGTCTGTTATATCTCTGATAGATATTGACATTTACTATATAAAAGAATTAAAAGAATTATCGATATGAAAGATCATATTTTTGGGGGAAATCAATTGTGAAGAATAACGTCTGATATTAACATTCTTGGTTAGCACGGTAGAAGCACCTTACTCTAAATACTGTCATTCGATAGATAATAAATCCTAATATTTGGAAAAAAATTGTCCAAAAATAAAAAGGCCCATCCCTGGAATGTTAATATTACGAAAAATGTCCCAAACAATTTGCATTTTAGCTGAATTTATCATTGCTGACCATGTCATGGAACTGACTTTCCTGTATGATCTTTTTGTTTTAAAGTTCTTTTGGCTTTTAGGTAGGGTTTACGGCAGATCAAACTCATCTGCTCTTTCCTAAATAATGATAAAATGATACACTATTTTTGAGTAAATATGGTGTTGTACCCTTAGCACATAGTGACAGTGATTTTTATTCCCCCGCCCCTTCCCAAAGCATGATTTCATTAGGATACGCTGCGATTGTCATTTGAAAGATAAATGCCTGACAGTGAGTTGTGATTCAGTATTTCTTCACGGCTGTTAGGAACACAGGTCATATGCTGGTGACAAACAAATATTTCTCCTTACTGTGATGAGACCAACCTGAGAGACTGCCACTCCTCTCTGAGCTGTTGTGAGAGCTGGTGGTGCTGAAATCCTGTGACTGGTTGTGTGGCATTCTATTAGACAATCCCTCAGCCAATCGGTAGTCAGGGATGTAAAGTAAGGCTAAGGGTTAAAGGGCAGAGGTCATAGTGGCATCATGTGATTAGTTCACAGCACAAGCCCATGCAGAACATGCAGTTAGCAATTCAGAAGCAGATGTCGTGGGACAGTGGAGGAATGTTTCCTCTATCCTGCCTAATGGAAGTTGAGATGGATTACTGATCACTCTATTGAAAAAGAGCTAAACGGATGAAACCGATTGGTGTTGGAGTGTGGTGGCAGTGACGGTGGCGGTGGTGGTGGTAGGGATTGTGCAAGGTACTGAATACATGCCGATATTTTTTTAGTTTAGGTGGTGAACCTGGTAATGAGCCACTAAACTGAACAACAAATACTAATTTCTATCTCATGCACAAATGATGTGAAGATAACTCCTCGGGTAATAGGAACCTGACTCACCATTGTTACCTTTGTTCTGATCAGGTAGAGAATAACCAAATCCCATCAGATCTGTTTTTTGCTGAATCGAGCTTTTCCATTGTGGGTCAGGCAGATCGACGGCCAATTCATGTATGCTATTGGAATGCAAGATCTGTGTTGTGGCATATGGGGTAGCCTGTGTTATCTGGCTGGAACTGTTGTAAGTGGTTTTGGTCGTGAAGTCAATGCTGCTATAAATGGCTCCATCTGAGAGCATTGTTGCTGTTTTATCCCCTTGGCCTGGAACTGGTGGCAGCACATCTGTGGTGAACATAGGGAAATGAAACAATTTAATGATGCGCAGGAAGCCCCAAACTATCAGGATTGAGGATGAAAAATAAATGTGTCACGCCGCACGTTTGCATTTCAGCTGAGATGGGCTTTATGAGCCAATGAAGGGGAGATGATGTACAACCGTCGCCAAGCTATCAGCCTCAGTGACAGGCAGGCCTAGCGCTCGCCCTTCACGTCTCACTGCTTAACACATCCCTTCCCCCATCTTCTTCAACCATGAATGAGATGTTTGGGATATTTCACTACAGAAAAATGCTTTCGGTTGTGCATAGTGCTTTTAGAACCAATGGAGTCGTCAGCTCTTTATGGAAACGATGGTAAAAGTGATTCTACAAATTGTGGATGAAAACATCTTTTTCCACTTTACCCCAAAAGATATAGGATATAAGTGCTGAATAGACGCAAAATTTCCCAAAATTATACTAGACAAGCAACGATGGGATGCATTTTTCTAAAATCCCAACTTGCTGTTTATCTGATTTGGTTTCACATTTCTAGTATGGAGTGGAACTGATGGCAGCCTTTTTTTTTTTATGACAAAGGAAAATTTTCATGAATAAGTCATTTTCACAATACAGCAGGATTGAACTATAGGAAAAGCAATCTGAGTGATCAGTGAGTTTAATTTATGCTACTAACTCTCAGTGAGTTTAATTTATACTACTAACTCTTAGAAGAGGAGAATTACAGTTTCAAGTTTTAATACAGCAGGAATAAAATTAAATTTTAGTAACAACACTGAATATCAATCAGTCCATTTATCTTTTGGTGTGCTGAATTATCTTTACACGATGCTTTCTGGTTCAGAAGTGCCATCTCTCTCCTGAGCTCTTATTTTTCCTTTTCTTAAGAAGAAAGATACTAAAATTAAAACAACAACAACAACAACAATAATACTAAATGGCAGATTTTCAATCATGTAGAGTTAAAAGTGAATCTAATTATGGTATGTTCCTTAATAATTTATGTTCTGAAAGCCACACTTCATAGGACTTTGGGTCATCAACCCACTTGATTTCTTCAATTATAGGAAATTTTCAACTAGTTATAGTAGTGTAATATTAAGTAATAAACCTAACTATTGTTGTACCAAAACTAAATTATCATCACAAGAAAAAGTGGAAGTAGAAATTTAGTCAAAATATCTTAAAATTTTTAGATTTGATGATACCTAATAGCACTTGAAACAAAGATTCTTATAAAAATAATAATTTGGGGGCACCTGAGTGGCTCAGTCAGTTGAGTGTCTGACTCTTGATTTTGGTCACGATCTCACAGTTCGTGAGATCGAGCTCTGCAACGGGCTCTGCATCTGTCACCACAGAGCCTGCTGGGATTCTTTCTCTCCCCTTCTCTATGCCCCTCTCCTGCTTGGACACTCTGTCTCTCTCTCAAAATAATAAAAATAAACATTTAAAAAATAATAATGATAATTTTTAAAGCTAAAAATTATCTTCTTTAGCAATAGCAACAAGACATGTATGTATGTATGTATGTATGCATGTATGTATTTTAAGCTTATTTTTGAGAGAGCATGAGCAGGGGAGGGGCATAAAGAGAGCAGACAGAGAACAAGCAGGCTCTAGTTTCCAGAGCAGAGTACCATGTGGGTCCTGAACCATGAATTGTGAAATCATGACCTGAGCTGAAACTGAGAGTTGGAAGATTAACCAACTGAGCCACCCAGTCACCCCAGGAATAAGACATTTATAATGCATTTTGTGCACTGTATAATTTAGGTCTTTCAGAAGTCTGGAATTCCAACTTGCTTTACAATGATGTGGGTATATACTTTATTGAAGTAAATATTTTAAATGCCTATCAGTGGATTTATTAAAGATATTCAATATATAATATTTCACAAAGTTTTATAAGCAAGTAAAATTGTTTTTTGATTTCCAGATCCCTTAACTATTTTTGTCCTTCTTGCTTTTACTTATAACTAGAAAATTTGATAATGAAAAAGTGTACTTCATTCTCAAATGTCAATATCATTTTCATTCTCAAAGACATTTCATATTTAGTAATATATCAAAATTATGAAAATAGATCCTTCATTCTGCAGACATTTTCAGAGTGTTGTTTCTGCCACCTCTCACATTGTTCATTGATAATATTAACTTGATAGTCAGGTTTCTCCAGCATGGACCCCAATTCCCCAAAACATTGAACTTAAGACCTTCCAAAACTTTGTACTTAGACTGTGAGCCAGGTTAACTACAAGTTTTTGAAATGGTTACATGTTCAAATGTTTAAACATGGAAAAAAAGTTGTCTGAGGATCTAAACCTATAGAATGTTATTCTGCAACAACTAAAGCTGAAGTGCTAGAAATAGAATCTTTCTCCCCGCTGGATGAAATTAGCCAGCCTTCAAGTCTAAGTGCTTCTCTATTGATTTGGGAGCTGCAGATTTCCTTCAAATATTATTTGATCACTCTTACATTTTCAAAAAATCATCGAATTATATTCAAACATTGAAATATTGGAAGACTATAGATGAATATCTGGATGTAGGGAAGCATCCTATATCAGCTGGTTTGGAGCTCTGGACCACCCTTCCTCTAACAGATAGGACACGAATCCGTGCTTCCATCATTAGACAGGACCTTCCATTTTCCATTTCTTACAGCCGACATCTACCTTTCCTGAGTGCTTTAGGCTGACTTGCACTTGTTAACGGTGGAGTTTGAAACCTATGAATTACAGAAACCCTTTCCTCCAGGTGGAATCGGTCATGATTCATTTCTCAGCTTTTAGCACCTTAGTGATCCATGCATTTTTTCCTTTTGGCCTGGTACACTTGCATACATGACTATCTCCTTCCTGGTATTGTAAGATACTTAGGAACAGGAACATATGGGATTTATGTCTGAATTTCCATAAATTCCTCACCTAGTGTTTTGCAGAGAGTAAGCACTCCCTAAATGATTAAATTAATATTTTATAGTTTGTATTGACAAAATACAGACTTATGCAATAATTAGTAACTTTATTATTCAAAATACTATTTTCATTACATTTCAACACCTATTAGTATTCCATTCTTAAAAGGGAAATGTCAGTATCCACAATAATTCTTTTAAGTGAACATAGTTATACAATCATACATGTGAATCCCACCTTGAGAATTGCAGAACAGTGCATATAAAAGAACGTAGACTTTAAAATGTGTTAGACCTATATTCTATACCTAGATCTGAAGTTATTCATTTTGATAAACCTTAGTTTCTTGGCCTTTAAAATGTAAATATGATTATTGTCTATGCCACACGTTTATTATGCAAAGAAAATGAAATAAAATGTACAAAAAATCCTACCTACTCCTGGTACACAGTAAATGCTTAAAATACCTATCACACTGAAAGGAAACACAGTAAACCTTGCAAAAACTTTGTCTTGGCCTTGATGTTCACCTGTGAAATATTTCATAAAAATGAGGTGGATATGGAAGATAAACCTTGAAAATGTGTAAATGTATCCTTTGACTAAATTAGACTAAATTTTAGATGTTAGTGTAGCCTGCTACAAACTGAAAAAACAAAACCAAAACAAAACATATTTTCCATCTTTAGGCATTCGTTTGTTGATGTAAAGAGAGAATGGTGCACTAATCACCTACAAATATAGCAAGTAAAAGAGGCATCTAATCCTTGATAGATAAAAACTTTCAGAACAGAATTTTTTTTTTACAAAATCATTCTGGGTAAGGTAGACAGGAGTCATCTGCTCTCCTGGTGAGGAGATGCTCAGACATAGAACCCACGCATGGAAAAGTCATAGCCTGTAATTGCAGGGTTCAGAGTTTGGTCACTAGGGGAGACAGCCATTTTCAGAGGCTTTGGCAAGTAAGAATCCTAAATGGGGTGGTTACAGAAGCTGAGAAGTCATACAACAATATATTTTTTTTAATTTTCTTATTTACTACACTGATGGTGGGCACTGCTTGTCTGTCACGCTTTGTGCTAAACCTGTATATGTAAACACCCATTTAATCCTTATTATATACCTATGACACGGGGATTGTTATTGTCTATATTTTATTTGAAGAATGAGAAAAGGCCCTCTTTCTTAAAGTTGGTATTGACAGAATGCCGACTTATGCAATAATTAGTAGCTTTATTATTTGAAATACTATTTTAATTATATTCAAGCATGCATTGGCATTCCATCTGTGAAGAGAAAATGCCAGTATCCATAATTATTCTTCTAAGTCAGTATGTTTATGCACTCATGTCTGTGAAGTCCCCATCTGAAGCCTATAATAGTTTAGCCTAGCCCTGGGTCCAGCATTAATTCCACCTAGACGTGTAGAAATCCTCTAGCAGATTGAGCCACACTTTCTTGGCTCATAGCACCCCTTTCCTAATTAATCACTCCATTTTCTACCCTAACTCCACTCATCACTCAGCAGAAGGCTGGATGACTTAACACTGTACTTGGATCCTAGCATTCTCCTCTTACAAATTCATTGATGCCTTCTGACTACCTTTTGGACAAAGTTTAAAGTCTCTCTGTGACTTAGAAGGCCCTCTGTTATCTGTTCCTCTGTATTTTTGTTGTTGTTGTTGTTGTTTGTTTGTTTGTTTTTTTTACCACTTCTGCTGCCTACTACTTTATATTCACTAGGAAATTCATTCCTTTGTCAACTAAGTCTATGTCTTTCTTATTTATAAACCTTAAATGGTTGTTTCCTCTCTACACATTTTTCCCACAATTCTGACTAATCTCTACCCCTCCTTCAGATGTCAACTTAAACACACTCCATTCATAGAACTTTCTTACTCCCAGTGGGCAGCTTTCTCATGCTGGGTACTGGCAAGACAGCTCCAGTGCATTTACTATCTACAGAGCTTTCCACCAATGGAAAAGTCAATTATTTCTGCCAAACTAAACACTGAGACCACAGACTTCTCTTGTCTCATCTTTCTCTAAACCCACCAGTCTCCTTTTGAATGGATGAAAAGGTAGCAGTAGGGAGGCTGGAATTATTTATAGCAGGTCAAATTCTGCCTCCTTATAAAGACCTATAGAGAGGATTGTGGCAACAAATTTTGAAGACCTTAGCATATGAGCTACTTAGCACCTTTCTGTCTTTTATTTGGGCCACTCGTTAACAATGATAGAACTAGATTTAAGTTATCTCTCAACATGTCAACTCTCAAGAACTGTCTACTCTATAAGATATATCATGTGAGGATAAGGACCATCTCTCTTTATATTGATATTTTATTTTTAATATCTGCCATAGTGGCAGGAACACAGGACATACTTAATAAATCTATGTTGAATGACATGTAGAGAACTGAAATGACTAGTTCAAAATCCTAATTTCCAGTTAGCAGCATAGTTCCTGATTTCACTAATTGTGTACGAATAGTCCTGAAAACAAAATGTATTATGAATATTGTCATTGTGGTTAGTAATCACTTCCTTAAAGCTTAGTTTTATTCAAGGTCATATAGATGCAATAGTTTTATACATAAAATATTTAGCACTGTTCACACATGCGCTACACTAATTTTAATTATGGAAGAAAATATTCTCTAGTACATGTTTTTAAAAACACTTAGGAGGAGCGCCTGAGTGGTCAGTCGGTTGAGCATCCGACTTCAGCTCGGGTCATGATCTCACGGTGAGTTCGAGCCCCGCGTCAGGCTCTGTGCCGACAGCTCGGAGCCTGGAGCCTATTTCAGATTCTGTGTCTCCCTCTCTCTCTGACCCTCCCCCGTTCATGCTCTATCTCTCTCTGTCTCAAAAAAATAAATAAATGAGAAATTTTTTTTTAAATTTTTTAACGTTTATTTATTTTTGAGACAGAGAGAGCGCACGAACGGGGGAGGGGCAGAGAGAGGGAGACACAGAATCTGAAACAGGCTCCCGGCTCTGAGCTGTCAGCACAGAGCCTGATGTGGGGCTCGGACCCACGGACCATGAAATCATGACCTGAGCCGAAGTCGGACGCTTAACTGACTGAGCCACCCAGGCGCCCCCAAAAAAATTTTTTTTAAAAACACTTAGGAAAGCCAAGAAAACAAATGACAACATTTTGAATAGCACAACTTACCTCCACGTCCAAAATTCCCAATCTCATTCGGGCCACTATTGCTATTGTTTACTGGTAAACTCGTGGCTGGCCACGAATCTGCAAGCCATGGATAACTGGGATCACCAGCATTTAGAAGACCAGGACGGCTAAAACAGAAATTAAAGGGAAATCAACCCATGGAGCCCAATGAAAGATTTGGACACTTGTCTCATGCACAAGATTAAAGAATTGAGGAAGCTTTTAATTCACTTCAAATGAAAATGTGTAGGTTCTCAAGAATTAAGGAAATTCAGTGGTTAAGACTATATATAGCCTGTCAGTAGAAGCAGAAGCATTCTGCCTGGGATTCTGCTGACATCCAAATGAATTTAGTTGTCTGCCCTGAAACTGGTGGGAATTGGCAACATAGCAGGATCCTGAAACAAGGTTTGATGATAAATTGGTACCTCAAGGGAACAATTGCTCAGAGTGACTGCTCAGTATCAGCCATTTCCAGGACTTTGGGCTATTGCTTCCTCGATTCCTGCAGCCCCCATATTTATCTGTCCCCTGTAGGCTGTAATCCCTGTTATGAGCCCTCATGCTTGATTTAGAGGCAAAGAACTTGAAGAAAATTAATGAACAGTATTTATATTGTTCCATCAATAGCACATTTCCAAATTCTCCAAATTGCAAAATATTAGGGGTATATGAAAGATCTTTAAGGTAATTAAAGATTCACTGTGATCTCATCCAGCATGTGAGTAGAGACTATGAGAAAAACTTCCCTCACATCATATTTAATAAAGAATTCCTATTTTTGATATAAAAGATGGGAATCCGATTCCTTTCCAGATTATTAGCATATTTACAAAGAAATAGCAACATCTATAATCATTGTACTTTATTTTTGATAGACCATTTGTGTGCAGTCCCTAAGAGAAACATGTGTTTCTATGGAAACTGCAGTAAGAAGATCCAACTGCTTACTTGCTACATGCACTAGCTCTCATTAGACCTAATCTCTTTTTGCTAAAATATTGATTAAATGGGAGATTGGAAGTTATTACCAGAGCCTAATTACAATCTCCATATTGGCAAAGGGAAAATAGATGAGGATATATGGGTTTGTTATCAGCTTTTATCAATTTCAATTGAGTATCCAAAGTTGTGGAATCCAGTCCTATCAATCTACAGCCTATTCATCATCCATGAATCATTTACTTTGTGATCGATTATGTGTAATTGTTCACTCACAGCAATTTAGTGAGAGCCAATAAGGAGTCTTAAACAACAGCAACTTCATTTGCTAATGTCTAATTAATGCAATAAACATCCTGCTAACAAATGAACACATTCCTTGTGATATTTACTACTAATTTCTTCAGGGGCATCTGGGAGATATGAAACATCTGGACTTGATTCCTCTAAAGTGCACAACAGATAGATCATTAAACCTTGTGGTAAGCCATTTAATTCCTCCTAGAATTCTCAGACTTGTAAGTGATCGTTTATTACAATAATAGCCTTTACTATAGCGTTCTCAGTCCTGATTAAACTAAGAAGAAGAAAGAATCTTCTTAGCATACCTCCCATTGCTCATTAGTCCTCCATCTCCTCTTTGAAATGTAACTGTTAACAAAAGAAAGACACACACAAGTAGTCAATATTAATTACGATTAATAACAGCTACATACTGGTCCTTACTTTAGGGCTGAGGCCTCTGGGATTGTAACAAAATATAAGTAACATAATTGTACAGAGAATAAGAAGCAGTGGTTTGGCCCAGGGCAAAGCCATCGTTTAATAAGACATCTAAAAATACTTCAAGCCAATTGTATGGTTAAGTCAAAAGGGCAATTTGTACTTAGAGGTCAAAAACTCTTACAACTGGAATATATAGTGGCAGTGGAAGATTACATGCATTAATGGGGGATTATCAAACCATGACTTTTAATCTTAATATGTGGGTGTCCTAATTAGAAGGCACAACATAAAATGCACATAATAGAAATTGAAACAAAATCATTCATGGGGCGCCTGGGTGGCTTAGTTGGTTGTGTCCTACTTCAGCTTAGGTCATGATCTCATGATCTGTGAGTTCGAGCCCTGCGTTGGGGTCTGTGCTGACAGCTCAGAGCCTGGAGCCTGCTTCAGATTCAGTGTCTCCCTCTTTCTCTGCCCCTCCCCGCCTCACACTCTGTCTCTCTCTGTTCCTGAAAAATGAATAAACCTTAAAAAATTTTTAGAAAGAAACAAAATAGTTCAAACAGGCAATAATATTCTGCCAGTGAAAAAGATAAACAGGTATTGATTGACGACATATTCCTCATCATCACAGATCCTTTGAAGGACACCATTAATCACTATGAGTTGAACAACTACAGTTACAATAGACATAAACTATAATTAATAGAGAATCATGTGCTGAGTGCTTTGTTTTATCATCCAACCTTCACAAAAAATAAAATCTTCAAATATTTGATACTGAGTCTATTTAAATTGTATGTAATGATTGCAAAAACTTAAGTCCTTTATAAACCTCTTGAACTTATTAGTCACACCAACAAGCATCCCATAGAATTAAAGCTGGAGAATCTACTCCCTCCAGACACTAGATTCCATTCCACAAAGCTATCAACATAAAAATGGGTTTCAAGGATTGGCCAAAGAACGTAAATATCAGTTAGGATCCATCATTTCTTTTCCAAAACCTTTGAAAAGCCAAACATATTTGGTATTCAAAATGTTTGAGATTTCAGAAAGGTAATACAATGCATTCTACAGAGAGGATCTAAGACAGAAACTCTATTCAAAGGTTTTTTTTTTTTTAAATATGTTTGCAATAAAATACAAATATTCATGATTAGTGGGATAAAATCTATAAATAGTTTCACATTGGCATGGATCAAATTTTGCCTCTCAAAGAGTTAACTCTAAGATCATGGAACAATTCTGTTTAGTTTATGGATTGCAAAATGGCAATTCTGACTAAAATGAACATAGATCAGCTAAATCCATTCCTGGGGATGAAGGAAAAAACTGATGGCTACCAGAGGGGAGCTGGGTGGGAGGACGGGGGAAATAGGTTATGGGGATTAAGGAGGGCACTTGCTCTGCTGAGCACCGGGTATCGTATGGAAGTATTGGATCACTATATTGTACAACTGAAACTAATATTACATTGCATGTTAAATAACTGGAATTTAAATAAACACTAGAAACATTAAAAAAAAAAACCAAGAAAAAAAACATTGCATAGATGTGAATCCAATATATCCCATATTTGGAATCTGCAAATTATATTTACCACGATTTCCTAATGAGTAAATGTAAAAATAAAAGTTTATGAATTGATTCATATATATGTATATACCTATATATATATATATATGTGTGT